AAACCTAAGGAAAGGATATGATGCTTCCAGTACGAGACTATCTAAAATACCATTGAGAAGGAGTGAATTAAAAGAGTAATATTCCTAAAAAGCAAAAAATACATATCCCTATCTTTGTATTAAAGCTTTAATGATCTAGGGTGCTTACTATTTTTTACAGGCTTGAAAACACACTTCTGCACGAAATTGACCACACATACAGAGCTCCTGCTGAGGAGAACTAGTTGGTCCAGTTGTGGACCACCTTTCAAAGAAATATAAACAAATTCTTTATAGCTATGCTGTATCAATCTACAAGGTTACCTTTTTCTCCGTAACAAGGTTCCCATCGTTGTTCATTTTTAATTGCACAGAATCCATTATTAATTGTCATATCTTTAAAATTATTATTAACAATTCCATATAAATCCTAAAGACGAAACATGTGAAATTTAAAAAAAAAACTTGAAACGAACAAGTGCGTTGTTAGTCTTAAATAACAAAGGCTCAGTTTCATAACTCAGCGTTGTGAAAAGTTTTGAACAAATTGCATCGGTGTAATTGAATTTCACATCCCCAAAGGAGACATATGGTTGAAGCCACGCAAAGACTAACAGAAAGACTATCATTTGTTTTAATTTGTCGTCAAGCAATTTTCGTAGATTTAAATATCTTCTTTTGGGAAATTTTATTGTAATAATGCTGGATTAACAAATAGAAACCTTTATTTTGCTTATTTAACAAGATCACAAACTTCGCCCAATTAGAATTGTGAAAAAAATTAAGTAAGTGCTTTATTAGTGATAATGTTTGGATTTTATCACACATTGGTCTCCTGCTTTACATATACTGTAAAGACCAGAAGCTGTCAATTAGACTGTTGCCATATTTAGTTTGATAAACGTGTTAATTTATAGATTTCACAATTAAAAAGCATCCCTGTGGGGAAATACTTTGAGTTCTTTGATCATTAAGTCAAAATCTTTAGTTCAACTAAATTATCGAATCGTCTATGAATTCTGGGTAATGACTTTATTGCCGGTTCAATGCTGTTACAAATTTTGTATTCAAATAGAAATTCTTTAAAAAGCGTAGACATTGTCCGTATGACTACTGAGAATGAAGTGTGATTGCTCAATATTCGTATCACTAGTTTGTGGCATTAAATATGGGAAGCTTATTTAGATCCCTATGTTGAATCAAATATGACATGTTCTTTATGAATTAGGTTAAAGGTAGATTTTGGTGTTGTGAAACTTTTCAAAATATAGAGAACTGAAATATGAAAAAAAATTCAGAGTTGAGTTATTGTTTAGCGCCAAAATTATTAAGTGTTAAGAAAGTATGGAGAGATAATTTCATCACACTTAAGTATTATCCATAACAACTCTATTTCAAAATTGCTAAAGGAGCCATTTGGAACTGTAGAAAGAAAAATACAGTTTATCAGCACCCTGTCAATTTGGAATGCAATGACCTTCAAAGGTTGAGTGACATTTCAATCACTAATTCACTCTCTTATCGAAAAAAGTTAAGCTGCATTGTACATTAGTGTCCATCTACCTTTATTATCACAATGCTAAATGTCAATCACCTTTTCAGGACGAATAACAACAACTACAGTTTCTTCAGTTGAATGCTGGAGTGATATCACGTGACAAAGGGGTACAAATCCAGAAAATCGTAGACATTTTTACAATTATGGAAGCAAATCTTTCGGATGACAAACGGAAACCCTACCAATTCCAAGGTTACACTTTACACCTTCTGCCTAAATACCGGCAAGTTTCAAATGCAATTTAGACTGGAGTAAAAGAAGAACTCTCATCACATTACGATCTATTCAAGTGTATGGGCTTGACACAAGATATATGCGAAATATTAAGATTAAAAGTTCTCAAATGTGGGGTGCGCGGTAGACTTACCTCCTCGTGGTGCACCCTGGACAACATATTTTCCTACGGCAAAAAAGTCCATCACTCGGCATTTTTGACTTCTATTTATTATGAATAGCTTTAAAAAAGGATATAAGAAAAATCGTCCTCGTCAGGGCAAATCACACCATCTTCAGATCCTACAGTGGAATGCTGGAGGAATGTCTCCGGACAAAAAGATCCAAGTACAGAAAATCCTACAAACCTATGATGTAGACATTTTCACAATTATGGAAGCAAACATTTCGGATGACAAACTGAAGTACTACCAATTCCCAGGTTACACCCTGTACAATCTACCTAAATACCGGCAAGTTGCAAGTGGAATTCTAACTGGAGTAAATGAAGGCCTCACCTCACACTACGATCTAATCAAGAGTATGGGTTCGACACAAGACATAAGTGAAATAAACAGATTAAATGTTTGGAAATGTGGTAACCACTTCTAGATATATGCAGTCAATAATCCACCCCAGAATTGTACAAACTTTGACTTTCTAAACATCTCACACTTAACTATAGAATTAGGAGACTTCAACGCCAATTCCACCAGATGGGGCTACAAGGATACAAACATAGCTGGAAAGGAAATTGAACACATGCTGAACAGCAACCCTCTGGAACTTATTTACAGCAATGAGGATCCGGCTACATATTTGCACTACAATGGAACCAGAAAAACTCCCGATTTACTCTTGGCTTCAAGCGAAATCAGTGATCTTACACGCCACAAAATAATTGACGATCCTGGTTCTGGTCACAAACCAGCATGACAAGGAAAGTGCCAACTAAGCTATCATGGAACTTCAAGAAGGCTGACTGGTCTAGATTCACTAATCTTTAAGACAACGAACTTCATACAAGTCCCCTCAACTTCAACCAACATCCTGATAAACTTTGCACTGATATCACGAATATTATGATCAGATGTGCTAAGAAAACTATTTCCCGAGGCAAGACTAAACACTATCGACTGTTTTGGTCAAAACACCTTGAGGAACTGAAAAGAAAGCGGGACGCCCTTCGCTGATCAGACTTTAAGAACGGAAGACTTAAAAGCCTGGAGACGACAATCAGCTGTCCTAAGGCAAGCCATCTTACAAGCAAAACGGACTTCATCATCTCAAATATCAACTATCAAAGTGATAGCCAACGCACTTTTAAATTCCTGGGTAACCTCCAAATCAACAGGGTAAGACCCAAGAAAGAACCAATACATTTAAAACCAAACTGCTTATCGCAGACTCCGAAATAGATAACTGCTTTGCGAGTTTCTATTCCCAAAAGCAAAAAAACCCCTTTTGTCAGAAAATCTTCAAGAGATTTAAAGATATAAGTGAAATTAAGGAAGACATAGCAGCACCAAATACTGTACTTACTGATTCATTCAGATCATGCAAACTTAATGCTTCGATAAAACAGTTAAAGTGCAAGAATTCTCCTGGAGATCCAGAATTTCTAATTAGAATGGGACCAAAAGCCAAGGAGACCATGCTGACGCTTTACATTTGTCTCCTTCGGGAAAATGAAATTCTATCCGACAGATGCAATTTGTTCAAGACTTTTCACAAAGCTGAGCAATGAATCAGAGCCTTTGTTAATTCGGACGGGGGTTGGGCTAGATGTACGTTTTGAATTTTTCAAATCATTCTTGATTGCTTGGTTTTCAAACTAAATATGGCATTTTGGATGATAGTAAAGAAATAATAACTATTAAAAATAATACATGCGCAATGGATAACCGACAGAAATGGGGGCCCTGCTATACAAAGACGGTAATTAAGCAAATTTAAACAACGCGATTAAAAAGAAAATGTCTTTATTTCAATGAAAGAAGGGCCAAACGTAGACCAATTGGTAGTCCTCGGAGGGCAATAAAGATTTGTCATCAACTTCTTGCCAATGTGTATTTACAAGCCCGTGTAAGAGGGTATGCTAACTAATTTACTAACTTTTGATATAAAGAAAGTCATATATATATTTTTTCGTAATTAATAAATAATGTCCATTATATATTTCCTAACTATTCCATATTTTTATAGGATCTGTTATACTGGATGCTTCTTATTCGTTCGTTAGATTGGCGAAAGGAATCGATTCGATCAATGTTAGCTTTAAGTTTAAAGGCACTCATAATTCAAATCTTGTAAGTTACTAATCAACCTGATTGAAATGCATGTGGTACAATTTAGTTTAAATTAGCCTAAAAATTTATGGTCAAAATAATATACACTTTTTTATAAGTTTTCAATTAGATGAATACAACATTTGAAGATTAACTTTTTCTATTCCTATTGCTCATTTCTCTTTTAATCTCTCCTTGATTTTGCAGAAAGGTAGGCGTTTACTTTGCGAATGGAGTGGAACTTCACCAGATTATCAAACTAACGGGAGTTGTTGTAAGTGGAGATGGAATTATTAATTTTATATACCTTGATTTATTTCATAAAATTATTTTCTTATTCAGAGCTAACCTGACAGTGAATGCACAGCAGGGAACTCTAGATTACACACACGAAATCTACCAAGATGGCGATGAAGAAATAACAACTTTGACGTTTTCTAATAGTTTTTCATTCGTTGGCGTTACTATCGATTGGACAAAAAATGGCATGACAATTGTTTGAAATATATTCTCTTTTTTAGTCATGCGTTTTTAAAACGAGGTGTACGTTGACTTTAGGCATTTCCCCTGATGTAGTTGAATGTTCAAGTTAGTTTCATTCAATTAATTTTCTTGCCAACTTGTTTTGGAATTCTAATGTATTCGTACTTTTTATATCAACAAAACATACGACGTTTAATTTATTTAAATTAATGACGCATGTTTTGAATAACATATGGACGGAATCTTCCTCGCACTATAGTGGGAGGTTTTGCATAATTGTTAAATTATAACTAGAAATTGCTATTTGTAAAATGAAACAAATTTCACAATCGGTTATATCAATTGATGCTCTTGAAGGTGAAAGAAAGTTTCATTTTGTCAAATATACACCTACTTTTATTCAGAAATCTTATTTATTCGTCATTTTATTTACTAACAAAGAACTTAGAACATCAATTTACCAGCCTAATTTACAATTCTCAAACTTTAAAAATGGGCGTTGAGAAGATATCTTCGATATAAAAAAAGCCTTTTACGATGCTCTTAAACCGATTTTATCAAGTTAGTAATAGCGAACCACTTTCATATTCCATGAATTTCAATCCGCTGATTTTGTACAAATTAAATTGCATTGTAATTATTAATTGAAATTCGGATAAAACAATTAAGAAAAAAATGCTATATTGAGCCTCTGACAAAAAATTTAACTAGACAGTGTTTTGATTTGCTTTTTTCGAAATAAGTTAAAAATGACTGAAAGGTAAACGGATTTAGCACAAAGTTAAAACGTTTCAAGTACATGTCATTTTTCAATAGTCTCAACTGAAATACGAGCGAAATTTTCAAAATTAAATTCCATAAAACGAAATTATTATTGATTTATCTGTAAATAAGCTCTTACGTTTGAGTTGAAAGTAGCTACTAACAAATCAGGTCGTCCACATATTTATTAGTTGTACGAACATGACGATTGTGACACTTGTAGAGATGACGACAAAATTGTCAACAAGCTGTAGTGAGTCAGAAATTGAATTGATACTTTAACCGTTGATCAAAATATCCGTTTTTGTTTCAAGACTGTAGTATTAAGCATTTTGAATTAATTAAATGCTCGTAATACGCACTCATGGTTCAAACCTGTTTTTTTTGAGGCCTGATCCCACTGCAGCAGGTATGTGCTGTTGCCCAAAACAACTTCAGTAAAGCATAAATTATTCGAAAATATCCATTTTAGCGTTTATCATAGTGAAAAAAATTTTGTTCCATAATTAAAGTTAAGGACCAAGTTTCAGGAGACATTCACTCACATGCATTTATGCAAAGTGAACTTGCAATCGATTACCTATGAAGTCCCTCCACGAATGACCAAGCACAAATTTTGATTAAATCCTCAAACCAAATGAACTTCGTACCATTACAAAAATTCATTTTACAATAACTTCAAATGGATTTCATTGAGAGATGAATTGTGACTCTGGTATTGTGTAAAGTATTTTAGTTGAAGCCTAAGCAGAATATTTGCCAACGGAAAGCGTTGGGCCAGTCACATCTAAAACATGTCTCTAAACAGACTCACTGATGTAGCTCAGCTGAACCGTTTCACTATGTAAATTTATAATCACATTTTTATCTAACCTCGTTATATCATCGTCTAATTTCTTCAAGAAAATACTTCTTGTGTTCATTTGTAACTAACAATGCTTTGCCGAAATACAGTGAAAATTGGGTGATTTACTGTTTATGAAAATGTGGACAGTAGAAATTTATTGGTTGGTGGTGATGGTGTAAATAAAATAACTGGAGCTCTCTGTGCCATCAACGTGGTCCCAGCTCCACCTGATTAAATCTGTCTGTACAGCCTTTCACTTGCATTTTAGGTAACGTCATTGGTCGCCTTATTTTAATGTTCGACTTTAATTATTTCAAATTCTGAACCTTAGAGTTGCATGTAAAACAATGGTTGAGTTTTGTAAGTGCCATTTGAAGCAACAACATCATCCAAATATGTGTACTGAGTAACGCTATGAAATCGAAAATGTAGTTTACGTTGATCACATTTTTTTCATCTCGTAGGCGTGGAAATTTCGATCTATTACGCTAATAAAATTTACTCTTTCAGTGATTTATATTATTTCTAACACCTCGAAATGAACAACTCTAAATTTACATTAGCAATTCATTAATTTTCGGAGAAATTGCACTAAGTGAGTTGAAACGCGATTTGCATTGGCTTACAAATACATATTTCATTATAAAACAAATATTAAACTTAACTATAATATTTATTCTTTTATCACTATCAAATTGAAGGCATTTTGGTGGTTATCATTAACATTTTAGTAGACTTTAGGCTACACATAGGGAAAAGTTGGAAGAAAGGGGGGGGGGACAGAAGCGTTTCTAAATGGAAGGTAGAAAATGTAGTAAAAAGGTGAGGTGAGTTCTGTGAAAGTAGTCCCATATGACATACAGTGGGATGATGGTAGTTTAAAATCAGAGGTCAACTGTCCATTGAAAGTCTTTTCTACAGTATGAATTTACGCTACCTAGGGTGCACCAAGTGGAAATAGGTCTAACTCACACCCCACGGGAACTTGAATGCAGGAAACTGTAATGAGTTTTTAATGGTTAATAAAACAGTGTCATTAGTGGGACTTTGTGTCCATCGAAATCTACAGGCAACTTCAAATTTTAACCGATTATTATTTTGAGAATGTTGGTGAATGAAAGTTAATTGCAATAATCTTCAACTGAACTTTTAATTTCTCCAATAATGAAAACCAAATGTTCTGGGTCTTAATGTTGTTTTAGCTTTAACTTAGGTGAACTCAGAGAATAAAGCGTTAGTAGGCAACTTTGCTTTCTTAGTTGACTTTGCAAATGTTTAGGTATCTGGGACAAGTGAACATTGCCTAACAATTTGTAAGGCTTTTCATCAAAAAGTACGAGGGGTCTTGCGCATTGAAATTAACACCGAACTGGATTTCTATAACATTTCACCCCTCCCTCAACTCCGACGCCATATTCGAAAGTGCCATCGATTGGCACATCCAGCGCCAGAGATTGTTCCTAAAAATCTGCGCATTGGTGACAGCACTCAAAATGCAGTAATACTATCAATAGTCATTAAATACTTAAAATGAGGAAATCCGAATTACAGACGAC